TCCTTTTTCTCTCAATTCTTCATCTTGCATTTTCTTTTCTTTTTCAACCAAATCTTTAAAGCAAGATTTCTCTCTCAACACTTGGTTGATTTGAGTGCCGTTTGAGGCAAAACGAAGCCCACGAAGAGCTCTACGCATTAGTACCATCAATTTCAGTTTTTGGTCTTCCATTGGAGTTCGAATTTGGGGACCCATTTCAAGGGATTTACTCAATCTTGAGGTAGGGGCTCTTAATCCACGAGTTCTTGTGCTTTTGTAAGTTAATCTTTTTTAAATGGTTATTTAGCATGTTTAATTTGTATAGTTTCAGCTAATTGATTAGTTGTGATGTATATTTGTCAATTTGGTGTAACTATGTGTGTTAAATGGTCTATGTGAAGAGCATGCCTATATGTTGGTTCTTTATATGCCTATTATACTAGATGTTATGGTATGGAAGCATGTTGTAGTTTCCATAGAAATCCTTATGAATGAATTGTGCTTTGCTAAGTGAATTTGAGCTAATTTCAAAAGGATGATCATTGACATGACATTAAATGCATCTAGGCATTCACATTGGGAATAAAATGGGAGAAATTGTTTTCGAAATGAAAATGGAAAGTTTTGGGGAAAAGTGTTTTGATGAAAACGTTATGAGAAAACCCGGTTGCTGCGGAGTCACCAACGGGCTGGTAGGTTAATGTAACCTAGAGGGAACTAGGGAGATTGCCTTAGCGTGGTTGAGCTATCTAGGCCCCACGATGACGCTGCGGAGTCACCAAAGGTCTAGGGATAGTAGCCAATCCTTCTCTCGGCGCTGCGGAGGTACCAAAGGGGTTACATTAACGGTTTGAAAGTGATGGTTTTGAATGTGAAAATGGGGAGCGACATTGACATGCATTTCGTTTCATTTCATAACATTCTATGATTTGTAAATGAGATTGGTTGATATGTAGTACTTCCCCGACATGGTATGACCCCAATTCCCATTGCTCTATTCTTTGTATGGATTCACGGGGACACAAGGGGCGTGTCTTAGGTGTCGCCTACTGAGCAATATGCTCACCCCACTTTAGTTAATATTTTTCAGGGCACGGCGAAGGATTGGTGGATGATAATTCATCATAGCTTTGAGAGAACTCGATGAGTATTTTGGTTATCTTTTGTAGAACCTGGACTTACTTTGTAAAGTACACGATACTAAATGTATTAAGTTCTTTTGGTTTTGTAAATTATAATTGTTGAGGTTGAAATTCGTCGCAGTCTAGTACGACACCGTTTCCTGCAAAATAAGGATGGCAAAGTCAAACACCGGTGTGGTGCCGGCCGTTGACCCTCCGACGATCAAGTTAGTAAGGGTTCTCGATAGAGAATTTTAATCGTAATTTGCTTAGTAGGAGTTTTTGTGTGTGTACCTTGTTCCCGAGTCGTTTTTATATTTATAGTCACTTCCCTTATTCTTGATAAGGGAATTTTATCGTCCTTAGCCCATGGAGCCTATCTCGTGGAAATCTTATCCTTGATAAGATTTGAACTTAGCTCATGACAAATCCTATCCTTGATACGATTTGTCATCATTCTTATCTAATAGAAATGGTTATCCTTGATAACGAGATATTATCGCCTGAGAGTTGAAGAAATCTGGTGGCCGATCAATATTTAATTACCTTTTTCGTTAAGTCAAGATAGGCTAGGGTTATTTTTCCCTATCAGTTGCCCCCTATTTTCGGGTACGTTGTGGACCAAGGAAATACTTTCTATATTCCATTTGTTTCCTTTTTACTACAGGCCCCTTCCATATTGTAGTAGAACTCCTTTACAAGAACTTCACTGTTACTTGAAAAAGAATTTTCCTATAAATAAATAAATTTATTTACTTATTTATTTACCTTCATTTTCTTTTTTGTCTGAAATCCTCTAAACTGGATCCTAACTGTGAGTTTCTTGTGGATCCTTGTAGATACGTAATTGGGTCAAGTTGTCTCTACCGGGTTATCGGTGCAATTCCAAAGTGGTTTCGCTATTTTCGCGATATCCGATACCTCATCATGTTTGTGCAGAAAAATAACTTGAATACTGAATCTCAATTCGAGGACTCAACCTCTGAAAGTGTTGAAGAACTCGATCCTGACTATGGTGATGAATCTGGTGTGGATTACTCCTCAAGACCAAGGACTGCTTTTTCCAAGCAACCTCCTCGTGAAGGAGAATCCTTAATTAAGGATGAGAATTTACAGAATTGTAGAGTTAAATATTCCATTCCTTCATCTATTCGTCTTCACAAACCCAAACCAGAAGATAAATGTTCTTCTATTCGTTTGGGTGAGGTATGCTTTTTCGAGTCGACTTTTGCTGCGGGCTTGCATTTTCCGATTCATCCATTTGTAGAAGAAATTCTTTCTTATCTAAAGATAGCTCCTTCTCAAATTGCTCCTAATTCATGGAGAATTATTATAGGCTGTTTGTTTATTTGGGGAAAGTGTGGCGATGGTCATCTAACAGTAAATCAATTCCTGCATTTTTATTATCCCAAGAAGAAAAAAGACAACTTTTGGTACTTCCAGTGTAGATCAAAGAAGACATTCCTCCTTGTTGCAACCCCTGAAAATAATAAAGGTTGGAAGAGTCGTTTCTTTTTTATGTCTGATACATACGGGAAATTTCCAACTGTTTGGAATAATTCAGATCCAACAGATAAGATTTATATGTATATAGTTTCCAAATTCTTCTTCTTCTTCTTGTTTTTTTTTTTTTTTTTGGTACCCGAGGGAACAGTATCCTCGGGTACTGTTCGTTAATAGTAAAATAATAATAATAAATTTTTTTTTTTTGCACCCGAGGGAACAATACCCTCAGGTACTGTTCATGAATAGTAAAATAATAATATATATTTTTTTGGGTACCCAAGGGAACAGTACCGCGGTACTGTTCATGAATAGTAATTTTTTTTTTATTTAATTTTTTTAATTTTTTTTTTTTTTTTATAAGTGCAACTTACAATTCTTTTTCCCAGAATTTAAGGACAAACCAACCCTCTCCATTCAAGAAGCCGAGTATGTTGGTATTGCCTCTTCTTACCCAGTGAAGACCTTTAGCGATCTCATGACTGACGAGGCTTTAGATTTGTATGTACGAGCTCATAGCTCAAAGGAAACCTCCACCCACTCAGAGAAAGGTAAGAAAAACAAAGGTACTTATATGTGAACTTACTGATTTTAGTTAATATCTCATTAAGTATTTCCCTTATTACTCTTTATGTAGGCAAGAAGCTCAGTAAAAGGCTCCTAGCCCAAGTCCGGTCAAGTAATCTTCCTTCTACTCCTGCTTCCAAAAAATTACGAAGGGTAGAGAAGAGAATCATGGTACATCCTCAAGCCCTGGAGTGTTATCAGGTCCTACTCCTGTACCTCTAGGTTTCAGCAGATTTGGTGGGGTTCCTACGAGTTTCGAAAGTTTTGGTTCGGTATCAACCAACCAAGCCTTTTCCCACGGGGAATCGGTTTTCGATGACGCTAATGTCGCAAATGACAGGTTACATAAAATGGTAGTAAAAGATGACACTGCCAGATTGCAGAATCTGCCAGCATCTGAGCTTTCAAAGAAATTTCTTCATCTAATCAGCCAGGTGAGATTTTACCCTTTATTATGTGCATCTCTTTCCTTTTTATTTATTTATTTTTTTTAACTGTTCGCCACTATTTATTTATTTATAGGGCACTACATACTCTGTTGTTATTACCAAAGAATACGAGAAGATTTCCCTAGAGATGGCTTCCCTCAAGGCTAAATATGAAGATGTTACTTCTGCACTTAAAATAAAAGAAGATGACTTGACTAATGCAAAATTAAACTTTCAAGATGAGAAAGTGAAACTTACCAAAGAATACTCTGATAAGCTGGAACTCGAGAAGCTAGCTGTCGTGGAGAGTTTTAAAAATTCTGATGAATTCAAGGTGCTCATAGGCAAGGCTTGCTGTGATGGTTTTGACCGGTTCAAAGCTCTTGTTGGCAAAGATCGTCCAGACATAGATTTTTCTATGTATGACATTCTAAGTGAGAGCGAAGAGGAAGATGGAATTCCATAGTAGTAGTCACACACACACACACATATATATATATATATATGATTTCTCAGTATGTTGTTCCTTTAGAACTTTTCAGAATATCTCTTAATCTAGAGAATAGTTTCTCTACTTTTGTCTTTCATGGTATTGTTTCATACTTGTTGTTTCCTTATGGAGAACTCATTTTACTTTTCCAGGCTTCACTCAGCCCGTCCTTCTTCCGAAGGAACGTATTTTTACGAGCTTCATCCAGCTCGTCCCTTTAGTAAGGGAAAGTCACTTATTTCTTTTAATAAAGAAGTGGACTTAATGTGTTACTAGTCCTTATGTGACTTATTAAATTTAGTAGAAACATGTGCAATAAATATGAATAACCATTTTATTAAAGACCTATCGAAAATAATAATCGATAGTCGAGTATTAGCATCCGTTACACACTGGTCTGCTTTATTGAAGCTAAAAACATTCTATCACTTTTAAAAGTGAAATAATAAAATAAAACACAGCCTGGCATGAGTACATACTGGTAATATTTCCTCAAATGTTCTGCATTCCACGGGTGGGGAAGCTGGCTCCCACCAAGTGACTCTAACCAGTATGCCCCCGGTCTGTTGCTCTGGGTTACTCGATAAGGGCCCTCCCAATTGGGAGCTAACTTTCCTTCCCCCTTTTCCTTAGTAGTCGGGGTAACCTCGCGAAGCACCAGGTCTCCTGGCTCAAACCTCCTTAGCTTGACCCGGGCATTGTTGTACTTAGATATCATCCGCTGGTAAGCTGCAACCTTGACCTGGGCCTGCTCCCTTTTATCTTCTACCAGGTCTAGGTTTAATCGTAGTTACACCTCGTTCTGTTGAGGTTCAAAATACTTGGTTCTGAAGGTAGCAACCTTTGTTTCTACCGGGATCACAGCTTCACTTCCAAAAGCTAACTCAAAAGGGGTCTCCCCAGTGGAGGTTCTTACGGTAGTGCGATAGGCCATAAAACTCCGGGTAGTTGTTCAGGCCACAAGCCCTTGGCCTTTTCTAGGCGTGTCTTGATCATCTTCAATATTGTCCTATTCGTGACCTCAACTTGCCCATTGGCTTGGGGATGGGCAGGAGAGGAGAAATGAACTTTGATCCCAAGTTCATTACAAAAATCGAGGAACTGCTCACTTTCAAACTGCTTCCCATTATCGGTCATAATTACCCTTGGTGCTCCGAACCTGCAGATTATTGTCTTCCAGAAAAACTTTTTTACTTCATTTGCTCCAATATGAGCTAATGGCTCAGCTTCTACCCATTTGGTGAAATAATCGATAGCCACAATTGCGTATTTAGTTTGTCCCTTCCCTTGGGGTAAGGGGCCGATGAGGTCCGTCCCCCATTAGGCAAAAGGCCACGACCTTGTAAGAGGGGTTAACTTTTTTGCTGGTTATTTTAGGACATTGGCGAATCTCTGACACTTGTCACATTTCTTCACAAACTCAAGTGCATCTGTCCTTATAGTAGGCCAAAAGTATCCTTGTCGGATAGCTTTATGCACTAGTGATCTGCCCCCAGCATGATTTCCACAAAGGCCTTCATGTATGTCTTTTAGAATGTAATTTGCCTCATTCATGGAGACACAACGCAAGTAGGGTAAAGAAAATCCCTTCTTGTAAAGAACCCCATCAATGAGGGAATATTTTGCCGCACGCATCCTAATCTTTCGTGCTTCCATACAGTCCTGGGGTAGCTTTTCGTTCTCAATGTACCTGATAATGGGTTCTGCCCACTCCATGCCATGGGCCACTTGGTGTATTTTCTGTGGCCAATCCCAGACCGTGCTAGGCTCATCCAAATATCCCACGGGTATGGCTTTATCTTCCTCTGTGGTTGCTAGTCAAGCTAGGGTGTCTGCCTGCTCATTCTCTTCTCGGGGAATCCGGTGAATAGAAAACTTCTTAAAAAAAACCCTTGATATCCTCTATCTTATGTAAATAAGTCTTCATCTTCTCATCCTTGGCTTCATATTCCCCCTGGACTTGTCCAGTTATTAGTTGAGAATCAGTATATGCTATTAGTCGTTCAACTTCCAAAGCTTTCGCCATCCTGAGGCCTGCTAAGAGGGCTTTATACTCTGCCTCATTGTTGGTTACTTTAAAACCAAACCTGAGTGCATATTTGATGTATTCCCCATTCGGGGAGATAATTACTAGCCCTGCCCCACTTGCACGGGCGTTGACGGACCCATCCACATAAAACGTCCAAGTAGATTCGGCTTCTTTCTGCTCATTTGCAGCATGCTTGGGCCCATCTTCTGGTGTGAATTCCACTATAACATCTGCCAGTACCTGGGCTTTTAAGGCCGTTCGGGGTTTGTATTGGATATCGAACTCTCCAAGTTCGACCGACCACTTCATGAGTCGCCCTGAAGTATCAGGTTTACGGAGAACCTGCCTAAGTGGTTGGTCCGTCAATACTATTATTGTATGAGCTTGGAAGTAAGGCACGAGTTTCCTCGTAGATATAACTAGAGCAAATGCCAACTTTTTTATCCTTGGGTACCTTTCTTCTGCCCCCCTGAATGCACGACTAGTATAATATACCAGTTTCTGGTTTCCATCCTCTTCGCGGACTAAGGCTGAGCTTACTGCCGACGGAGAAACTGCTAAGTACAAATACAACTGTTCTCCTTGTATCGCCCGCGACAATAATGGTGGTGAAGTGAGATACTCTTTTAGCTCTATAAAAGCTTGCTCGCACTCAAGGGTCCATGAAAAAGCTTTCCTGAGCACACGAAAAAAAGGCAAACACCTATCGGTCGTCCTGGAAATCAACCTGTTCAGAGCTGCGATCCTTCCTGTCAATCTTTGAAGTTCCTTGGTCGATGCTGGAGACTGCATGTTGAGAATCGCCTGGACCTTTTCAGGGTTAGCTTCTATCCTTCTTCTACTTACCATGTAACCGAGGAATTTCCCAGAGGCGACTCCGAAGGCACATTTACTTGGGTTGAGCTTCATCTGGTGTTTCCTGAGGACTTGGAACGTTTCCTGTAGATCAGCCAGGTGGTCTTGAGCTTTCAAGCTTTTTACGAGCATGTCATCCACATACACTTCCATATTCTTTCCGATTTGGTCCTTAAACATTAGGTTTAGTAGCCGCTGATATGTTGCACCAGCATTTTTTAGCCCAAAATGCATCACCTTATAGCAATATAAACCTCTGTCCGTGATGAAAGAGGTCTTCTCTCTGTCTGGTGTGTGCATTGAGATTTGGTTATACCCCGAGTATGCATCCATAAAACTGAGCAGCTCATGGCCAGCTGTCCCTTCTACCAACATATCAATTCTTGGCAGAGGGAAACTATCTTTGGGGCACGCCTTATTTAAATCGGTAAAGTCTATGCACAACCTCCATTTTCCATTGGCCTTTTTTACCAAAACAACATTGGCCAACCAGTCGGGATAATGAACCTCTTAGATGAAATCAACTTTCATAAGCTTATTCACCTCTTCTGATATAGCCATGTTCCTTTCCACGGCAAATGTTCTTCGTTTTTGCCTGATAGGTTTGAATGTAGGATCTGTATTTAATCGATGCTCAATCGTAGTTGGATTAATACCGGGCATGTCTTCATGTGACCAAGCGAATACATCTTGATTCTGTCTGAGGAACTGTATAAGAATATTTGTGAAATCTGAGGGGAGCAGAGACCCTATCCTCACCTTTTTTGTTACGTCAGTGTCATTCAAGCATATCTCCACCAAGTCCTCGATTGGCTTAGCCCGGTCTTGCTCATTCTCTTCAACTTCATAGACAATCAAAGCCTCCTGCTGCCTCTTTTCTTTGAGAGAGGCAATATAGCATTCTCTGGCAATGGACTGATCTCTTTTTAGTTCGCTTACGCCATGCTCGGTAGGGAAGCGCATTAATAGGTGATAAGTTGAAGTGATGGCCCTCATCGAATTTAAGGTCGCTCTTCCTAGGATGACATTGTAAGCAGATGGACAATCCACCACCAGGAAGTCTACCATGACAGTGACTTAGTTTGGGCTGGTTCCTGCAGTGACAAGAAGGATGACCGCTCCTAGAGGATAGACCTTGTCTCCCGTGAATCCCACCAATAGTGATCTAGTAGGTCTGAGTTTCTCCTTACCAATCTTCATCTTGCTGAATGCATCAAGAAAAATGATATCAGCTGAACTTCCATTATCTACCAAGATTCGCTGAGTATTATAGTTAGCGATCATCATGGTGACGACAAGAGGGTCGTCATGAGGTTGCTGTACATCCTTCATGTCTTCATCTGAGAATGTAATAACTGGATCACCTAAACGAGGCATCTTACGATGTTGAATCTGTACTCCTACTTCGCACACCTCAGATGAGCTTCGCATTCTCCTGGCATAGGCCTTACGGGCTGAGCTCGATTCTCCACTTCCTGCACACCCCCCGGCTATGACCCTGATCTCTCCTATTGGTTGTTGATCAGGAGGGTGGTTGTCTCGGCCTACTCTTAGTGGGTTAATGTCGGTTCTGTCATTCCCCACAATAATCTTTCGCATGTGCCCCCTTTGGATTAGAGTCTCAATCTGATCCTTAAGGTCGAAGCAGTCCTCTGTAGCGTGCCCATGGTCTTTATGGAACCTGCAATACTTATCATGAGGTCTTCTTGCCGGATCTGACTTCAACTTCGGTGGCCACTTCAGATGTGGCTCATTCTGGATCTGTAGGAAAACTTGATCTATCGGCGTATTTAAAGGAGTGTAATTTGTATACCTCTCCGCGTTCTTGTAGCGAGACGCCCTTTCATTCTGGTTGACCATGGGTTTCTTATACTTGGTTTCCTTTTCATCTCTGATTGTCAGGGTCGGCTTTTTCTTGTCTGACTTTTTATCTTCCCCTTCTTTTCCCTTTCTCGTAATCATTGCATCTTCAGCATTCATATGTCTTTTAGCTCGAACCAATAACTCGGCCATGCTGGTAGGAGGTTCCTCTGATAAAGAGAAGAGGAATCTTGAGGTTTGGAGTCCACCCATGAAGGCGGTTAGGGCCACCTTGTCATCCGCTTCCTCCACCTGTAACATCTCCGTGTTAAAACGACTAATGTAATCTCGCAGTGACTCTCCCTTCTGTTGCTTCACAGTAAGGAGGTGGGTAGCTGGCCTTCTATGCCTCTAGCTAACAATGAAATGGCCCACAAAGCCCTTACTCAATTCTTCAAAGGTTTCGATGGTTCCTGGCTTTAGTTTGCTGAACCATACCCGTGCTGATCCTTTGAGAGTCGTTGGGAAAACCCTGCACATGATCTCATCCGGCATCGCGTGCAAGTGCATAAGCGCTTGAAAAGTCTCTAAGTGGTCGAAGGGATCTTTAGTTCCGTCGAAACTCTCAATTGTGGGCATTCTAAATTTTCTTGGCAAAGGGCATTTCATAACCGACGGGCTGAACGGCAAATTGGTCTTCTGCACCAAACCATCTATGGCTGCAATGCCTTTTCCCTTCATGGCCTGCATCGCACCCTCCATCTTTGCTGTAATACCCCGTATTTTTGAAGGATTTATTTAAATTACTTCTGTATTAGGTTAATTATTTAATGTGTAGATTTATTCATCTTTTCATTGTGTATGCTAAATTATTAAATTAATATTAATTGTATATATTAAATTATTAAATTAATTTATTTATTTGTGCATCTAATATTGATTTTTATGTTATATATATTATATCATGTTAGTTTAGAAATTTTATTGGTTATGTTTTATATTAATTAATATTAGTTAATTAAAGTATTACATTTGTTTAATAATAATAATAATATTATGTCATGATGAAAATTAGATATTATGGTGGAATTTTATGCCAATTATTTGACTTAGATTTAATTGCCTTGAATTAAATTAGGTGGGAAGTTTTGATAGTTAATGTAAATTTAGATATTTGTAATATTTATATTATATAAGTTAGTATATATTAGTTAGCTACTTTGAAGCAAGTCACGTAAGTAGAAGAGAAAGGAAAAAATAATAGTGAGCCATTTTAGAAGAGTAAAAGGAAAAGAGAGAAAAAGAAGCTTGGACCGGTATAGGTGATTTTACTCGACTACGCGCAACCAGCGGATTTGTTTCAAATCCATAAGGCAAGTTATTATCTACTTTTCCCCTTTAAATCCATAAATTAATTGTTTAATTTATTTAGGTTATTTTTGGAGTATAGAAACCATGCTGGGAATTTTAATAAATTAATTTTAGTCTATTAAAGTAATGAAATTTTAATTATTAAAGGTGTAGATATTTATCTATTAGCCTATGTAATTAAAATATAGCTAAAAATAATTATTTAAGGCTTTAGGGATTTTTTTGGAATTTTCTAGAATTTTTCGGAATTTTTCTGTAATTTCCGGCGAATTTTACGGCGAGATTCCGGTTACCGGCAGTGAGGAAGATGACCGGAGTAATCCGGTGTGATGCGGCGAACATTACTTTCCATGCGCGTTTATCAGCAGCCATTAGATTAAACATTAATCATTAGATCAATTCTGTACAGCATAGTGCACCATACTATGGTGCGCGCAAATCAGGAACCATTAGATTAAAGGATGATCCTAAGATCAATCCGGTACAGCGCGCCCATAGTAAGTCAGTGCATCTGACGAATCAGCAAGCGTTGCATTAGCAGGACGCATCAACGCGCGCGTGGCTGATGCCAAACGCGCGTGGGGGCGCGTGTAAGCGCGTGCGCGTGTGAGGAAGGTGGCGGCCCGTGTGGGAAGCTTTGGGAGGCGCGTGAGGGCGCGTGTGGGACCCCTACAGCTACTGGAAAAGTCTAGAATACCCTTAGGGACTGTTTTGTAATTTTCAGAACCATCAACTTGCATTTTTGGGCCTAGGGTTGGTAGTTACGGGTTTAACGGGACATTAAATTATTATTTTTAGTACCCATTAATTATTATTATGTCCGATTAATATTTCCAAACATTAATTATATGGTTTACAGTACAGACCGCTATGAACAGATGTAATTAATGTAATAACATAATTGAATATTAATTGTGTTGTTATTTAATGTCAAATAAAATGATTACATAATTTGATTCATACAAATTGTTCATTATACATTATAGGATTCTGCACGTTGTTAATGATATATAAATCATTACTATTATGCTGTGTGCATTTCAGGTAATAAATGGGCTGCTAAATAAATTATGTCGCATTTATATTATATGAATGTGTTGCCATATAGAACTATGTGAGCTGACTAATAAGTTGAGACTCATTTATACCTTATGCATTCGTTGCTATAGACAGATGTGTGGCTGTCGGGGTATGTGGTTTAATATTATTGGCATGTGTTGCCTAAGTGATATGCTCAGTATATTCATTTTAATACCTTGTGATGTGTTACCACTGTGTAGGACTTATAGTCTGTGTTGTCAGTACCATGCACCATGTATTAATAGCTGATTTCCCAGGTAGGGAAAGGAGACACTTAACCACCTCGTGTGAGTCTAAGTGATCACCGTCTATTCTGGTTGAGGTCATATTATACATTGTGTAGTTTAATTAGGGTGTATACAGATATAGTATACTTCCGAATTATAATGATTAAGTTATTTGATTCTCTGATTTGGGTCATAATAGAGAGGACTTGCTTGTGGGGTTGACCCACCATTGTTGTTATTTCAAGACACGGTCAGTACCTGTTTCAAGGTTGAGGCTTAGCAGTGTGGGACCACCATCCGAACTCATCTACTCTTACGGTCTTATCTAGGGTAGAAGTTTTATGTATTATTTTAATTTCAGTTTTATTTACTTCCGACGTTGAACTTTCAAGTTTATGTATAGGGATCTTTGACATAGGATTTCCAAGTTGTATAAAAGAGTATTGTATTTAATAAAGGATGGATGGATGTTTTATCATTTAGTTTTCCTTTCATGTCTAAGTTCTTCTATTATTATCATTTTGTATTCCATGCTTGTATATTACCAATTGTTTTTGATATCTCTCATTTTTCGTGTATAAGCCTGATCAACTTATGCGTGGAAAATGCGGGGTGTTACATTTGCCTTGAGATCCTGCATCTCTAGGTTAACGTGGGAAATCTCCTCGGTCTTTTCAATGACAGTCGTGTCTTCATGGGGTCGCCTGAACATCCTGTGGCATGGGCTTGCATGGTGGTTACATCTTCCATCATTCGCAAGGTTTTATAAGCACAACTCACCGATCAGCAGTGTGTCGACAAGGTCGTAGAGATAGCTTCCGGAGAGGTTCCATTCTACTATGTTGGGGCTGATGGAGGTTTAAGGTACAAGGGACGGTTAGTGGTACCTTCTGCTGATAATTTGAGGAAGGATGTGATGACTGAGACTCACCACTCTGAGTTCTCTGTTCATCCAGGAGGCGATAAGATGTATCAAGATATGAAGCGACAGTTTTGGTGGGCAGGTATGAAGAGGGACATTGCTCTTTTTGTTTCTCAGTGTAGTACTTGTCAGATGGTTAAGATTGATCATCAGAGGCCTCCAGGAGCTCTACAGTCACTACCAATTCCGGAGTGGAAATGGGAGAGCATATCTATGGATTTTGTAGAAGGGTTGCCAAATTCTTTCAAGGGGCATAATTCCGTATGGGTCATTGTGGATAGGTTGACCAAGTCAGCTTATTTCTTGCCTATTTGCACTGACTACACTTCGGAGCAGTTAGCGAGGCTTTACATTTCAGAGATTGTGAAGCTACATGGCATTCCATTATCTATTATATCGGACAGGGATTCGAGCTTTGTATCTGGATTTTGGAAGAGTTTTCAGCAGGCTTTAGGTACAGAGTTACACCTTAGTACTGCTTATCATCCTCAGCTGACGGACAAACTGAGAGGGTGAATCAGATTATGGAAGATATGCTTCGGTCGTGTGTCCTGGATTTTAAGGGCCACTGGGAGGAATATTTGCCACTTGTGGAGTTTGCTTATAACAATAGTTTTCAGAAGACTATTGGGATGGCACCTTTTGAGGCGTTATACGGTCGATCGTGTCGATCACCTGTTTGTTGGATGGAGGTTGGAGATAATCGATTCTTAGGTCCTGAGTTCATCAAGGATACCTTTGAAAAGATTGCTCTTATTCGAGATCGCATGCGTACTGCCCAAAGTAGGCAGAAGAGCTATGCTGATCGTCGCACTCGTGCTTTGGAGTTTCAGGTTGGGGATCAGGTTCTACTCAAAGTGTCTCCTATGAAGGGTGTTATACGCTTTGGGAAGAAAGGGAAGTTGTCTCCGCGGTTTATCGGTCCATTCATGATTACGGATCGCGTTGGAGCTGTTGCTTATTGGTTGGCACTGCCGGATAATTTGGACCGCGTACACAACGTATTCCATGTGTCCATGTTGCGGAAATTTCTGCGAGATGAGGATCGGTATCAGCATATAGATGTTGGGGAGATTGAGTTGCAACCGGATGCAACTTATTTGGAGCCACCATGTCGTATTGTCGATCGTCGGGATCAAATCCTTCGCAATAAGGTTATCCCTTTGGTTCGTGTGCAATGGAGTCATCACAATGAGGCCGAGTCCACTTGGGAACGGGAAGATGTCATTCGCTCGCAATTTCCTGAAATATTGGAAGAAGGTAAAGGCGAATTTCGAGAATGAAATTCCTTTTGTTAGGGGGGAAGAATGTAATACCCCTAATTTTAAAAGGATAGTCTCGGCATTTATTTATTATTTTTATTGTATTTTTCGTGATTATTTGGTTTAATTATTTTTATTTATTGATTTGATTTAATTGTTTTCCTATGTGTCATGTGTTTTAAATTGAATTAAGTTATCTTTTAATTATTTAATTGGGTTATTTAATTAGAATTAATTAGTTAAGTGTATTTAATTATTTAATTGGATTTTTAATTTAATTATGGTTTAAGTTACAGTTAGCTTTGGGTTACAAATCACGTATAGGTAAGCCGCACTATGATAACCTAGATTGCTATATGGGCTGATTGACTAGAGTTTTACATTAGGGCTCTGGCTTTAATTTAACAAGGATTAGGGTTTAGGTTTTTACGCCTATATATACATAGTTATAATCTGTATTAAGGGTTGGAAAAAAAACCCTACTCACGTAACATAGATACAGAGAGTTACACAGTGAGGCTTTGAGAGAGAGCAGAAAGTTACACAGTGAGGCTTTGAGAGAGGACCAAGGGAGGATTTTGGTGGATTAGATCAGAACCAGAGGAGGCTAGAAAGTTTAGAACAATGGCGACAAGGTTTTGGTCATAAAACTGTACAGGCAAGTTCTTATCTTCCTCCTTCCCTTTGGCTTGTGTTCTGTGCACCTAGATAGTCTCTAGGAGATTAATTGGCCTTAAACTGAACCATGCATGTTTTATATATGTTTTACTTGATTGTTTTATCTGTAAAAAATTTATTTACAAAACAATTATAGCACGTATGTTTTTCTTGACTCTGTTTTGGCATAACGTCCCATTGTTCTAATTTTTATTTTGAATCTTACTGAAATCAACCAAGGTC